ATAATAATAATAATAATAATAATAATAATAATAATAATAATAATAATAATAATAATAATAATAATAATAATAATAATAATAATAATAATAATAATAATAATAATAATAATAATAATAATAATAATAACTCAACATTGCCACTATACTAAGAGGATCTCTTTGTTTCTAAACTCCGTGCCTAGCCTAGCCTAGGCAGGCCTCTGGCTGACATCATGGCTGCTTGTTTTTTGTACACTGCCATAACCAGTCAATTTGAGCACTAGGCCCCCAATTTCTATGCAATAACTATACCCTCTGGCCTTTCATAATATCATTTACAATGTGAGTTACTTTCCCTTTAAATTTGGCTGAAAGTTTAACACAAAACATCTATAGGTTCGAGAAGTCCCTATATGACCTCATCAGAGGTCTGCGGCATCACAAAGCAAATGAAGTCGAATACATTCATGCCAGCATCAGAGAATGTCAAACAGAAATAAAGTCCCAGGACATGGGTTAGAGTCTTCTGTGCCCTGTCATGCTCAATAGCTTACGCCTTTCAAGACAAAAAAGCAACTGCGCTTCTGAAGCTGATATACCTGGAAATGTTCGGATATGATATGTCATGGGCAGCATTTCACGTTCTGGAGGTGATGTCATCTCAAAAATATCTTGAGAAGCGAGTAGGATATCTAGGAGCTGCTCAGAGCTTCCATTCAGACACAGAAATTTTGATGTTAGCTACAAACCTGTTGAAAAAGGTTGGTGATCGTGACTGAATTAGATATAATTATCCTAATATCTTCTAGGATATGATCTCTCCGCTTGTACCAACAATGACCTTACCACTCTTAGTTCTCCCTCACATTATCTCACCATCGTTAGCCTTATCTCTCCTATCAGATTTGACACCACGCCTATCTCACTCTCATTCGTCTGTACGTAAAAAGGCAGTGGTGAACCTCTATCGACTCTCTCTCGTTTACCCAGAGGCATTTCACCTAGCATGGCCAAGGATCCAAGAGCGCTTAATGGACGAGCAAGAGGACGATAGTGTCACTGCATCTGTGATCAATGTTGTCTGTGAACTTGGCTGGAGACGACCGCGGGATTTCCTGCAACTTGCGCCAAGGTTGTTTGGTTTACTAGTAGATGGCGGGAACAACTGGATGGCAATAAAAGTTCTTAAACTTGTAAGTCATTATCATGAGTTGATATATTGTGAACTAAGTGTCTTAGTTTACATTCTTAACGCCTTTGGAACCACGACTGGTCCACAAACTTATCCGTCCTTTGACATTAATCATTAAAACAACTTGTGCCATGTCTCTACTGTATGAATCTATCAATGGAGTTATTCAGGGAGGGATCCTTGAAAATTCCGAAAGTGAAGGAGAGTCCATTGCACACTTATGTGTAGAAAAGCTCAGTGGAATGTTATTTTTGGAAGGAGACCCAAATTGTATGGAATACACTCCACCATTGAACCCACTTTTGCTAACAAGCCTAAAGTAAAATATGTTTCCCTCCTCGCCTTCAACAGAATCATACTTTCATATCCAATGTTAGTTTCACAGCAACAAACCCTGATTATGGATTGCCTTGGTGACAAGGATATTTCAATACGACTACAGGCTTTGGAACTTATCTCTGGAATGATCACCACCGATAACCTGCAATATGTTGTGGGCCAACTTATTACACAGCTTCAAAAGTCACCCATTGAGGAAGTTGTGGCAAAAGATTTTCTAATGGAAACCAAACCAGTAGGAGATGCTTATGATCAACATATCCCGGAATCATTGCAAGTAAACAAAAAGCAGAGCCATACTATTTTTCTTCCAAATGACTACCAAGTGGAGGTTTTAAATCGGATCCTAGATATGTGCTCAAGGAGTACGTATTCGTTCATACTGGATTTTGAGTGGTATCTCGACGTCCTAGTACAGCTAGTGCAGTTAGTTCCCGCGTCCAGCTCGCCGCTCAGGGTCTCAACAGTGGCATCGGTAGAGTCCGAGGACCGACTGGAGAGGTGCGCTTCTCGAATTGGCTTCGAGCTGCGCAATGTCGCCGTTCGAGTAAAAGGTATAAGAAGTGAAGCCGTGCATGCCGCGGAGTCCCTGATATCAATGGATAATCGGGAAATATTGTTTCCAGCCAATTCACAGTCCAGAGTTCCAGTGTTAGAATACGCCTCTTGGATAGTCGGGGAGTTTTCTGAGTATCTCGCTAGCCCAGAACAATCTCTGTCATCTTTAATTTACCCGGCAAACGTGAAACTATCCCCAAAGGTGATATCTTCTTACATTCAAGCTATCCCTAAAGTGCTTGTTCATTTAGCAAGAAACAACCAATGCTCCGCCAAACAAACTGAGATACAACTTACCAAGATACTGGATTTTTTGAAGAATCTGTCCCTGCATTCCGACCTTGATATTCAAGAGCGGGCGACTGGTTTCCTAGAGCTTTTCAACTTGACTGCCGAAGCACTTTCGCAAGAAACTGCTGGGAAACCACCTCTGTTATTATCTTCCGCGATTCCAACCCTCTTCTCTGGCTTGGATCTTAATCCCGTTGCGATGAGTGCTCAAAAAAAGGTACCAGTCCCTGAAGATCTGAAGTTGTATACACCTATCAACCCCAGATTAGCGTTTCTGCTTGAGCAGTCCCAAGATATCACCTTGGATTCATTATCTAAGACGGAGATAAATGTCTTTTACTACGAGATGCCACCCGTGGGCGACAACTCGTTTCCCAAGGAAATTTTATCGCCATACCCAGCCGCTAGCTCGCCGTCTTATCAGAACATAAAAGATGACACCCTTACTTTGGACGCGATAACTAAACGACGAGCGGAGCGGCGAGAACAAAACAAAGAAGAACCTTTCTATATTGGAATCGACAGTCCGGGTAACTCATCCACCCCAGTACCCGCAACCAATAGCGAAGACTTGGACCTCGACTCCATTCCAATAATTGATTTAGCAATTAACAAGCGTAACATACCTGGGACTACAAAGTTACGCCCAAACAACAGCGACAACCAAAGGAGGTTTGAAATTATTGGTGATGAAACTATAGATGTTATGAATGGTCAATCAACATCCTGTCCACCGCTCAAGGCAGGGACGAAAACTGGGAAACCAATGGTTGACATTAATTTCGGGTCTGTCAATGGCCCTTTACCCAAAGGCCGCAATCCTAGTGTCTTAACTGAAGAGCACGAGATGGCAAAAGCAATAGAGAAGGTTGAGCAATTTCGATTGAAAATGCAGCGGACCACCGAGCAAATACACGTCGTAGACGACGTCCCGCCAGAAGGCGCATTAGTAAAGAGGAAGAAGAAAAAGAGAGTTAAGCTCACCAACGTAGATGCTGGTCATGCTAACGAAATATCTATCAAGGTTAACAAAGAAACCTGAAGAAAGCAAAGATGGTTATGCAGCTCCATCGGAGAAATAAAGACATATGCCTCGTCTTCCGTTCTTTGGGAACTTATATATTTGAAACAACTCTTAAGTTCATCTGATTTACTTGCTATTCAGTGGGCTTATATAAACTTAAAAGGGAAGTTCTAGTCCTCATAAAATAGGTCGTATGTAGGTAAATACATGTACAGTAATATTTTCACTTACCTGCCTGGGCTTGCCAAGTAGAATATCTAATGGTGTACGGAGTACTTATGTAACCCAAATCAACGAAAAACCGGGCACAGTATGATTTTCCCTTCAAGTGTGCGCACTCCACGTGAAAAGTATTCAACTTGTCCATCGACTGAATAGCGATGACACAAATCCCCAGATCTCCGGAGCAAGTTGAAGTAGTTCAAAGACGACTCCGCCACATACCACGAACCCAAGGACAGCTAAACACAAGCAACCCTTAGAGAGCTTCGAGTAGAGCAAGATACCATATGGTTCAACGTACCAACCCAGGCTACAGATACGGGAGCCTTTGGTGTTACCTTAGACTTGGCGACACGCTCCAACTTTCCACGCTTAGCTTCTTCATATTTTGCGTATTTCTCGTTCGCTTTACGTTGTTGTGGAGTTTGTACCTACAAGGAAGATGCTCTTAGAACCAGCCAGTATACTTCCAAGTTAGAGACAAACACTGACCATAATGTAGAAAACGTATATTCGATTCTTTTTGGGAGTGGCTTATTTGTGAGGTAGAGTGAGCTAGCTCATAAGCTGAAGTTATCTCGTTGATAAGTCCGTAATTGGATGTTTAAATTTTTATCTATTTCGAATCGCTTCTTCATCCAAAAATTGAGAATGCTTGATCAGGCAAGACAAAGTAAAACACAAAAATATTAGGGACCAAATACAGCAAAGAGTAGTTACTCCCGGGAATGGACAAAGACTCACTTGCCAAACTGCTAGAAGAGTGTTCTTAAAATAAAGTTAGCTTAGGTGGCCTGAAGGTTTACTGTATTAACCAACTAACTAACTAACGTTAACTAACTAGTTAGTTAAGCTCCTTGGAAGTAAAACGTCCCAACTCCATCTTGAAGGGAACGTCCGAGAAACCGAGGCAAACGGAGTCCATGCTGATGCTGTTTTGAGTAACTCTATGGAACACAGAGTATAGCCTGCCAATTCCATACCACTATCTTTCTTTTCCCTGCCGAAATAATATTCAACCGCCGGTAGAACCACCGTCCATACGGAGTACCCTTCAAATGTATGTACAAGGCGGCCTCACTGTCATGTCGGGTCTAATTTTTCACGGTGCTAGAAGCCCTTGATGCCATTTGTTGAGGGTCAGATATGATTTCCTCCCAAATGATATTAAAAGCATCCACTCAACATGAGTTTCTTTCACTGTCCCAGCAAACTCCTACCTTCATTCATGATTCCTCACTATCCCAGTTTTCCATTACTCTTCTTAAGAAGCCTGAGACGCCTGAACTTTGGTTGAACTTCGAGAATCTTTTCGTTGCTTGCCTTGTGACTGGAGATGACTTGTCGGCTTTGGACTGTCTCAACCGAATTTCTACTCGGTTTGGGAGCGCAAATGAACGTGTAATAGGGTTACAAGCGCTCTATGATGAGGCTCTTGCGAAAACGGAGGAAGATCTAAAAAAAATACTAGAAAACTACAATACACTTTTAAAGGACAATTCTGTGAATGTGGTTAGTATTGCTTTGAAAGCGCGCGGTTATGAGCATAATGTTGATTTCTCCTTGCTAGTCAATTCTGAAACGACGAGCCGCTCTACTGCGATCGATATCCCGGCCAGCGGATGCAATTGAGGCTCTTGTCAGGTTTTTGGACGCATTCCCTACTGATGCAGAAGCCTGGTGTGAGCTTTCGGATCTTTACCAAGGTCAAGGAATGACATCACAAGCTGTTTTTTGCCTTGAGGAGGCGATTATCATCTCTCCGAACGCATGGAATGTATGGTACTTCTTGCCGTTACTAGCCCTTCTTTTTCTAACCACTCGGCTTTAGCTCCATGCGAGGATAGGCGAGCTATTATACGTCTCAACGTTGCTAGCGCCAACAGATACTGATATAAAGGTTCTCGATGAATGTGTGAAGCGATTTTCCAGATCTATTGAGCTATGTGATGGGTATGTTCGGGGGTATTATGGCTTGTGTTTGGTATGACTTCATTCATTTTTATCTGTGCTTGTATAATTCACCACAAGATCTAATCTAATTGTTTGGCAGAGCATTTCTTGTCTTCTGAACATAGTGGCTTCGAAAAACAACAATAAGGATAACAGCATTGTCAACATAAACATTCTTCGCCGCCTCCTGGAAGCCTCTATAAAGAAGCTAAAGGATATGAATGTGAAGCCCCCCTTTGATTTTTATTCCTATTTTCAGCAAAGCCATCTAAGAAATATGTGTTGAATTTTTGGATATAAATACTAACACTCGAATGGCAATGTTTTGAATGTATCTATGCATGCTTCTATTTGTGCATATGCAGAAGACTATTGAGCGCTCTCTTTAAGCGCGCACCCCTAGTACGCAGGACTTGTACTGTATATGTACATGGCTAAATCCCCATTACCCCCCTGCCAGCAAAGGTAGCCATCTGATGGAACGCACTATACCTTTTAACACTACTTCAGTCCAACTACTTTTGTTCTTTCCATTCTACTTATTTTCTAAATAGTATCACCTGTCTTGTTTCAATTAAACAATATTGCCTGTTCTTCTTTCCATAAGTTTTTTCCAACATCAAAGATATCTTTAGACTCTTTACTCTGGGGTCTGGTTCCTCAGATTGACTTGCATCACTTAATGTGATGGATTTTTTTATCATAAATAAGTTAATAACAGAGCCAATCAGATGGCAGACAAGAATTTGATTGAACTTGCTCACATGTCAGAGTCCACTTTTACAGACTACTTACAATTGCTCTGACTAATTCAGAAGATCTCTCTGTAAACTAGAATAGACTCTTGCAAACTCTATTAGTTATGTGCTTAAAAATTCTAATAGCATGTTGAGGAAAAATTAAAACTATTCAATTAGAGACTGAGATTTAAAATTTATAGAAACTTGGAATAAAATCTTATTTTATACTATTTTTAATATCAAAATCACATATAAATGTATACATGCATTGACAATTTTTCTATTTTGTCATACTTTGTTGTAAAAATACAATTTCAAAATAAAGTTTCAAAAAAAATTAAAGTTATTTCAGAGTCTGGAAATTCTCTGAAAAATATTTGAAACTTAGTCTCTTAGACATTCCAAATGGAGAAGAGAATGGAACTTTTATCAGTATTCTGAAAGAGAATTGAAACTTATCACAAAATTTTGAGAGAGAAATGAAACAAACTGACTTATACTGTTCTCTAATCTTTCTATAGAGATCTCTGTAATAAGTCTAATACATGCATTTTCACTTTATTGTAACAACTTTCTATCTTATCATATTTTGGTGTAAAAATACATTTTACATATAAAATTTGAAAAAAGAATTAGAGATATTTCAGAATTTGAAAATTTTTTAAAAGAAATCTGAAACTTAAACATTTTAGAACTGAGAAGAAAATAAGACTTTTATCAGTATTTTAAAATGAGATTCAAACTTATCATTGAATTTTTTTAAAAAATAAAATAAACTGATTTGTACTGTTTTCTAAACTTAATATCTGAAGAATTTAGAAGTTTTGACTTTTTGAAAGTGGATATTAGAACTGAAAAACAAGTTGCAAAATTGAGCACTTGATATGAAACACCATCAATTCTAAGTCAAATTTAATGAAAATATATTCATTGGAAAGCTCTTGTTTCACTTAATTATTCTCTTCATTTTCACCCAGCAATTCACTGTGGTGAGTGGAAAATCTCACATTAAAGATTGAATCATCAGTTTTAACTACTCTGATGCTTTATCTGATCATCACAACACAATCATGTTCACTACAGCTCTGAAATGTTGGAAATTGATTGCATTTGTGTCAAAGAATCTATATTCAAGAGAAAAATACTTGTGTTCTTAAATTGATTAAAAATTCACTCAGTTTTGGTGGCTCTCCATCAGTCTCCCACAGTGAAAAGTTTTCATGTTTCTGGCTCACTAAGTCTTAATCAGCAATATCAAAGCTGAATTGAAGTCTAAACTTACATAATTATTTCATCAAACTCTATTATATCACATTAAAGTGGTACAACTGCAGAACACAGTCAAAATTCTGGCAGAATATAGAAATTTCATCACAACTCAGTCAAAACAAGATCTTCTAAATTCAGTTAAATATCTCTGATTTTCTGATCAATTCTCTATCTTTCTGATATTCTATCAATTTTCTCCAGCTCTGATATCCACCTCCAAAAAGTCAAAATCAATTGTCAGTTGAGATCATTAACAGCAAATTCAATTGCAACTCAGCCAAAACAAGATCTTTTTAAATTTAGTTTGATATTTCTGATTCTCTGATCAATTCTCTATCTTTCTGATATTCTATTGATTTTCTCCAGCCCTGATTTTCACTTTCAAAAAGTCAAAACCATTTGTCAGTTGGGGTCAGCAAAGATAAATTCAATCACAACTCAGTCAAAACAAGATCTCTTCAGAATTAATTTAATATCTCTAATTCTCTAATCAATTCTCTATCTCTCTGATACTCTATCAATTTTCTCCAGCCCTGATTCTCAGTTCTGAAAAGTCAAAATCATTTGCCAGTTGGGGTCAGCAAAGATAAATTCAATCACAACTTAAACAAAACAACTCTTCTCTCTTTCTTATTTATTTCAGAGACATAGACTCTTTCAGTCACTGATTTCTGCATTCATCAGCTAGTGGTGGTTAAAATTGCTCTTTTATAGTTAGAATAATTATACTAGGCTTGTTGATTTTCTGTGAGGATTGGGTGGTTGCAGGTAACATGGCAATGGCTTACAGCCTTTGTAAATGAGGTTAGGTAGAGTGAGAAGTGGTTATGAAGGGATCTAAGCATGAAAGAGAGAGAGGTAACTTGTATTGCTACAACAGTATCTAGAGTCTCTAGATATGTTGCCACTAATCTTCATAAAGAAGCATCTGTGGCAGATTTTGTGTGTTCAGCTTTGCTAGTGTGATCATGTGATCAGTCATGAGATTTATAAATTTCAGATGCCATGAAGCATGATCATCTAAACATCAAAAAGATTTTATGAATCTCTTTTAGATGATGAAATGAATGTAAGAAGATCACAGCACAGAGTCTTATAGATTTTCTCCTCTTCACAAGTCTTGATTTCCAAGACATTGATGTGATCAAGATCACAGTGAGAGTGACAGCTCCACTGTGATTGTAACAATTTTGTACAAAATCTCTTTTTGGTGTGATGAATGTAAGAAGACCACAGCACAGAGTCTTAATTCAATCTCAGTTTCTGAATGTAGATGTGACAGTAAGATCACAGCAAGAGTGACAGTTTCTCTGTGATTGTAATGTAGTTGCTGTAGTGACTGTCATTTCTTATAATTCATCTAGTGATACTCAGCAATCTCTTAAATATAAATATCTCTTTCTTAATCACCTCTCTCTCTCTCTTTCTTTTTCTTTTTCAACAACATTTTTTTTTATTTGAGTAAGAGTTCTAGACAAGCATTCTCTTCTTGATGATTACAAATCTTGAGAGGCTTTGTAAAGGCTTTTCTCAGTGCTAACACATTATGCAGAGAGATAATTTGCTGTGTCTCTCTTCTGTTTAAATTAAGATGTCAAAACATGAGCAACAATGGCTCAACAAGTTTGAGAATAAAATTTCAATCAGTTGTTGTTCAAGACTCTCTTCAGAGATAATGTAAGAGATGTCTTCAGAATCTTCTGCTCCATCTGAAACAGAGTTCTCAATCACTGTCATTTCTCAAGAAAATTAAAGTGAAGAGGCATCATTGCTGTCAGTTTTCATTTATGCAACAGAGAGTTATGTCTCTGAAGACTTTGAGATCTCTTCTCAGATGTCACAGTTCAGTCAGTCTGATTCTGATTATGATGATGTAAGTGATATCTTTCCATTTCTTCTTCTTTTAATGCTTCATAATTATCTTTATGAAATCTGAAATATTCTTTATGAAGTGTTTCCTCATTTCATAATTCTCTTTTCTGTGTGCATGGCTGATGGCATATTCAGAGTGCTAATATTTGAGCTTGGCAGAAACACTCAATGGTGTCTACTGTGTCTAGTAACAATTCTTTTTTGACTACTAGCTCCATTATCTCAGTTGATCAGATCTTGAAAGAGGGTGACCACTCATCTTTCAAATCTGAAATTCTTGTTGATAATGCACCACTTCATTTTTCTTAGTCTGATTCATTTCTACTGCATTCTCATTCTCAGTCTGTGCTCTTTTCTATGCTGCATTCATTCTCAAGCATTGATTCTGTCTCTGATGCATCCAAGATATGTTGAGTTGCTTCATAACATGACTTATAAAACAGTTTCTGCTTCATAAACTCATTTACAAAGTGATGTTGAGAGTTTCAGCTAATGCTTTTCTTTCTCTAGAAGTCAGTCTCATCAACTTCTTCTCTGTCTACTGTGTCTGCTTCTGCTTCTGCTTCTGCTCCTCTGGTCTCTGCCCCAGCTGTTAACTTGCCAGCCAGAACATCAGTTACTATGAGCCATCTTCCACTCTTAATCTCAGATCAGAATTCATTTGGTCATGAGAGACAACTTCTTGCTTTTCCCTCTCTTCAGTTCACAACTCTTACTAATCCAACAGATTCTATTCAGCTAAGAGATAGAGCTCAGCTCTGAAAAGAAGTTCTGATCATCATGACAGACAATTATTCTCAGCAGTCATGTACAGCATGCTGAAGTAACTCAAATTCTCCATTGAGACAGTGTGTTGCAAGTTCTCTTGATAGAGACAGATGTAATAACTGTGTCTATCAGACACACAAAACTTATTCTTTCAATTCTTAGAGTTGTCTTCTTGTTTTCTTTCTTTTGTTACTGTGAGCTTTAATCACTAATAGTCTAGTTTCCTCTTTCTCTTGTGGGCTTTGGTCATTAATAGTCTAGTTCTTTCTTTTATCTTAGAGTAAATTTACTACTTCTGCTTCATGAACTACTTCTTGACAGTTGTAATTGCTTTTACAGACTGAGTTTTCT